AATCGTCGGTGAGTAAATGAGATTTCGGTATACCTTCAAGTATTTTACTAGAGTTCGAAGTCCACTTTCTTAACGGGAACCCTGCTGAATCCAGTATCTGTAANTTTTACTGGAGTTCGAAGTCCACTTTCTTAACGGGAACCCTGCTGAATCCAGTACCTGTAGTATTTCTTCTCGAGCTTTAATCGCTGCTCCGATGCTGTGTCCTCCAGCAAGTACGTCGTCCACGTACATACACTTTCGCAAAATTTCGGATGCGATTGGAAACGAGCTCTCGACCTCATCAGCTAGTTCATGCAATGTCCTTATCGCGAGATAAGGAGCACAGTTGATGCCAAAAGTCATCGTTTTTAATCCGTATAAGCTAATTGGTTCTCTTGGGCAGGTGCGAAAAACTATGCGCTGATATTTCGTTTGATTCTCATTTACAAATATTTGCCGATACATTTTCTCTATATCGCTGTTGAAGACGTATTGGAACAGTCTCCAACGGAGTATGAGGATCGTTAAATCGGCCTGAAGTACAGGACCTGGAAGGAAGACATCATTCAAACGNTGCCAAAAGTCACCGTTTTTAATTCGTATAAGCTAATTGGTTCTCTTGGGCAGGTGCGAAAAACTATGCGCTGATATTTCGTTTGATTCTCATTTACAAATATTTGCCGATACATTTTCTCTATATCGCTGTTGAAGACGTATTGGAACAGTCTCCAACGGAGTATGAGGATCGTTAAATCGGCCTGAAGTACAGGACCTGGAAGGAGGACATCATTCAAACTCATGCCATTAGCGGTTGGGCATGATGCGTTGAATACAACCCTGACCTTTGTAGTGGTACTTTCTTCCTTTAAAACGGCGTGGTGCGGTAAAAAATAGCAGTCCGTTGAATCTGGTGAAATGTTTTTGTTAATTTTTGACATATGTGCTAGTGTCTCGTATTCAGATACAACCCGGTTGTACTCTGTTTGAAGGACAGGCTTTTTCGCTAGTCGCGTCTCGTTCCGGTAAAACTCTGAGCATGCACTTTTCAGCGAAGGACCTAAGCACACATTTTTCGGAAAATCCCGTTTAAAAGGTAGAGACACAATGTATTTTCCATCGGTATTTCGTGTTGTAGTTGCTTTGAAGAGCTCTTCGCAGTATTTATCATCTTCGTTGATGCCTTTTTTCTTTGGGACATCCTCCAGCTCCCAAAATGCAGCTAGCTGCTTGTCCAACGTGACTTCGTTAAAATACGATACGATATTGTTAGTTGGACTGACTGAGTCCGCGCGACCAGTCAGTATCCAACCGAACACGGTCTCTTGCGCGAGAAGCGTATTTAATACGTTCTTCCTCATTCCGCTTAAAATTATTTGCGGGTAAATATCTCCTCCTAAGACCAGGTCAACTGGCTCATTGACGAAGAATCTTTTGTCCGCCAAGACCAAGTCTGGGAACGATTGCCGCGTCATTGCGCTTATCTGACAAGTCGGAAGATCCCTGGTTAATTGTGGTAAAACCAGCACAATTGCTTCTATATTAATTAACGGGTCTGTGGGTGACCGAAGTTGAATAGCACACGCTTCTTTTACCTGCGCAGATACAGAGTTATTGATGCCCGAAACTTGGGCATGCAAGTGTTTTGATGGCAGATTGATTCTCCGTTTGAGT